AAAAAAAAAAAAAAAAAAAGGTAAAAAAAAGTACCACCTATCATTTGGAGTGCTCTGCCTTTTTCTTAGAACTTTCCTTGCCCTCCATGTAGGGGGGTCAGTTTACAAACTAACAATTGGCAAGCCAGTCAGAAGACTGAAGAAATGGGCCTTAGGAAAGAGACTTCCATGGGGGGAAATTCCAAGTCTGACATTGACCTCTATGTGGGAAGAGGTAGCCCCCATATCAGATGCTAATGGATAGCCACATGAATATGAGGACACTCTGAAAATACCAGCTGGTTTGATGTGCTTGTTTGAGGGGAAAGAGGGGAAACAAATACCAGCTGGTTTGACGGCAAAGAAGGGAAACAAATGGCTGCCTCCATGGGCTGGCCTCTACTCTGGGCAGTTAGGCTGGCAACCAATGTCCAGCTAGAGTCTGAAGCTGGAGCTAGAAAGTTAGAAGAAAAGCTAAAGTTAGCCCAGCCAGCGTGGCTCGGTGGTTGAGCATCCACCTATGAACCAGGAGGTCACGGTTTGATTCCCAGTCAGGGCACATGCCAAGGTTTCGGGCTCAATCCCCAGTGTGGGGTGTGCAGGAGGCAGTCAAACAATGCTTCTCTCTCATCATTTTTGTTTCTATCTCTCACTCCCTCTCCCTTCCTCTCTGAAAATCAATAATGTGTGTGTGTGTGTGTGTGTGTGTGTGTGTGTGTGTGTGTGTGTGTTATAAAAAAAAGATATAGAGAGAGAAAAACAGGTGTCCACTACTCTCTTATCTTCAGGGCTAACAGACAAGGTGGGGGAGCAGAATAAATTGGAGAACTTAGCATGCTATTTTGCAAAGCCAGGAGCATGCAAACTGTCACAGATTAGGGTCTGAACACTGATTAGGATGCTGAGAAGTAGAATTCCTGGGAAACTGAGGAGACTAAAAAGGAGGATGTCAGGGTGATTGACAGTGAAACAGAGTGACATGCTGTCCAAACCGTAAAATTTTAAGTAGCAATTAGATTTCTGATAATAGAGAAATACACCCCAAAATTCCTAGGAGAAATCTTGCATTCTTTTTTTAAAATATATTTTATTGATTTTTTTACAGAAAGAAAGGGAGAGGGGTAGAAAGAAACATCGATCAGCTGTCTCCTACACACCCCCTACTGGGGATGTGCCCGCAACCAAGGTACATGCCCTTGACCTGAAATGAACCTGGGACCTTCAGTCCACAGGCTGATGCTCTATCCACTGAGCTTGGGAGAGGGGCACAGGCTTACTCATCCTTGGATACCCGACATCACCTAGTACAGCGGTTCTCAACCTGTGGGTCCCGACCCCTTTGGCAGTCGAATGACCCTTTCACCGGGGTCGCCTAAGACCATCCTGCATATCAGATATTTACATTACGATTCATAACAGTAGCAACATTACAGTTATGAAGTAGCAACGAAAATAATTTTATGGTTGGGTCACAACATGAGGAACTGTATTTAAAGGGCCAGAAGGTTGAGAACCACTGGTTTAAAGTATTACATATAGTATTACATATGTCTCCTTTTCCCCCCATTAACCTCTCCCCAGCCACCCCTTCTCCCAGCACATGCCCTCATCCCCCTAGTATCTGTGTCCAATTGTCCCTGGAAGTTGTAAATCTTATCACATCTTTTAAATATAAACACCCCAGGAGGTAACTAAAATACTGCCCACAGAGACTAAAGGAAAAAAAGGGGTAGAGAAGCATTTTAAAACACAGACTGCTATAGAGGAGTTCCCTTGCCCAAAATATAGTCTACAACTTTCAAAAGATTATTCATCGATGCTCCCTCACGATCCCTCATGCTCCCTTACGTTTCCTCACGTTAGAAAGAAAAAAAAAAAAAGATTATTCATCAAGAGCTTTGCAGATGTCGCATTTCTTATCAATTGAAGGTCTATGGCAACCCTGTATTCAGGAAATCTATCAGCACCATTTTTCCAACAACTTTTGTCACTTTGTATCTCTGTGCCACCTTTTGGTAATTCTCACAATATTTCAAAAGTTTTCATTATTATTACATTTATTATGGTGATGTGTGATCAGTGACCTTTGATGTTACCCCTGTCATTGTTTGGGGGCACCGTGAACTGTGCCCATAGAAGAGGGCGAACAATTGATAAATGATGTGTGTGTTCTGACTGCTCCACATTTCCTCATTTCCTCTCCTCTTCTCAGGCCTCCCTACACCCTGAGATACAATACAATATAGTAATAAGGCTAATTAATAATCTTACCTTGGCCTCTAAGTGTTCAAG